TCAACATCAGCATCATCATCGTCAGCATCATCATCAGCAGCATCATCATCAGCAGCAGCATCAGCATCAGCATCAGTATCAGCATCAGCATCATCAGCATCGTCATCGTCGTCATCCACACCATGTTCATCATCATTATCATCAGCAGGATCATCATCATCATCGTCATTACCATCATCAGCATCATCATCATCATCAGCCGCAACATCATCAACAACAACACCATCATCATCATCATCATCATTAGCATCACCCTCCTCCTCCTCCTCACCAACATCACCCTCCTATTCAATATCACAACCTTCGTCATCAACATCACCGGCATGATCATCGTCGTCATGGTCATCAGCATCACCATCATCGTCCGCATCAGCGCCATCACCATCATCAGCATCATCAGCAGCTTCATCATCAGCATCATCATCTACATTATCATCATGAGCATGATCTTGGTCATGTTCATCATCATCATTAACATCACCAGCATCAGCAACAGCATCATCCTCATCATCATCATCAGTAGCATCATCAACAGCAGCAACATCAGCATCAGCATCCGCATCAACATCATCACCATCATCAACCTGACCACCCTCACTTCCACCAGCATCATCCTCAACATCATCCTCAACATCATCTTCATCATCATCATCAACACCAAAATCAACACCAACATCATCATCGTCATCATCACCGTGACCGTCAGCATACGAATCAGCACACTCATCATCAAGCTCATCCTCAACAACATCAGCATAAGCAGCATCGCCACCATCATCATGATCATCAATCCCATCAATGGCATCATCATAATCAGCATCACCATCATCATGATAATCAGCAGCATCATCATGATCCTGACCACCATCATCATCAACAACAACAGCCTCCGCATCAGCATAATCAACATGATTAGCGTAACCAACATTATCAGCAATCGTTCTCGCCAACACAAGCACAATCATCGTCAGCGTCATCACCGCCGTCATCGTCATTATCATTATCATCGTCACCACCAGCAACATCATAAGCATCCGCATCCGCATCATCACCATCATCATCATGGTTATCCTCCTCAGCATCATAATCATCTTGAACAACGTCATCATCATCATCAGCATCATCATCCTGACCACCATCACCATCCCCCATCCCCCCACGCACACACACAACCATCACCATCAGCAACAACAACATCATCACCACCACCACAACCATCGGAGCAATCTTCATCTTCATCCTCCCTCACCTCTCTCCTCATCCGTGCATCTTTCCTCCTCCCTCATCTCTCTTCTCCCTTCTTTGGACAGCGCCCCCACCCCCCCCCGCACCGTGCACAGGGGAAGGCGACCGCCCACCCCCCCAAAAGCACAACACTGGCCCGTGGCCGCCCAGCAACTCCTGCCTCCTCCTCCACCTCCATCGCTCAACCCTCCCCCTCCTCCATCGACCTCCCCCTCCTCCTCCTCCTCCTCCTCCTCCTCCTCCGCCTCCTCCTCCTCCATCGCTCCTCCCTCCTCCTCCATCTTCCATCGACTCCCCTTACCCCTCCCCCACTTCCCCTCGCTCCTTGCCCTTGCTCTCGCCGTTTCCCCAAACTGTCGAATATCCCGTTGGCGCCGCCCGAGGCTCCCCCTCCAGGGAGGACGCTGCGGGGAACGCCTCGAGGGCCCCTCAGGGGCGCCTGTTGCGATCGCTCCGTCCAATGCCTCCGCACCTCTCTTGGTCGGATGCGGCGGCAACGCAAGGATCAATCGGCATCGAATCCATGAATCGGATCTACAAATTCAGACCGTGCGCCCGATCGGTCCATGAAGTCCAAGTCGAATCGGATCGTCCGCGCCTAGGTGCACAGCGACACCATGCGAAGATCGGTCCGCATCGGATCGACGGAATGTCGGAATCGAATCGGACCAGGTCGGCAGACACAGATATCCAATCGGATCGATCAGAGCGACATGGACCCTGCAAGGGCGAGCACGAGGATGCAGGATCATGGCAACGCGCCAGCCTTCTCAAAGAAGGGGGATGAGGCAATTCTTACAAAATCCTGCTCACCACCACCGTGCAAATCTTCAGGTGGGCATGGTGCCCGAAGAGCGTGGCGCGGACGCTCAACATAGCAGCCCGCAGGCTGTGCATGAGTCCCGAAGCGGGCTGTGATGTGGACTCCGACCGCAGAGCATCAGAAATCCCACAGCTCAGAGAGCGCTTGAGCACCTGGCTGCCTGCCGCGGCTGCAACCTTGGCGCGCTTTCCTTCATTACCAGCCCACCCTCCACACGAAACCCCTTCCCTCTCGCAAGGCCTCGGCATCTTCAAGGCACGTGCGACCACGACCACCGCCTAGTCGAGACGCCCGGTGTCAGGATTGAACTTCCCCCGGAACCCGCACTTATGGCACCAGGTGCCGCTGGGCCACCCAAAACCGACGTCTCCGACCGCGGAGTGGTTCTCGAAGAGTGCAAAAAGAAGGGGGTAGTACGTCTGATCCGACCACCGGTTGTAGTAGATATGGCCGTCCTCGTTCAGCGCCTCCGCTAGCCTTCGCACAGGCTCCGACCTGAAGAAGTCCAGGTCCCCCATGCCTGCGTAGCCCACGTAGTTTACAGTGGCTCCCCACGGCTGCCAGAACATGGGATCGTGGGGGGTCAGGTCGTGCTTCTGCTGGTATTGCAAGAACCAGTCCCACAGACCAGCCGAACATTTCTTCTCCGCTATCAACTTCCTTGTTTGCCACATGAACTTCCGCCCGGTCTTGGACATCATGCAAAACGGGTCCTCGACGAGGTCGGCCTCGAAATCAAAGTCGGCGTCAATGCGCAAATAATACCTGTACTTCGCCAAGGCCGGATGCTCGTACATAGATTTAATGAAGAATTGATTCATGTGCTTGTAGCTGTCACTCACAATTCTTGCGCACGAGTTCATGTGCTGCCAGAGGTGGTCATCGTCACTGATAACCTTCGGGAACTTGAGATCAAACGTCTCAATCGACCATTCATAACCCATACCCCCAAACTCGAGCATAACATCGTGCATGGTCTCGTTGGTAGGCGACTTTTTAAAGCTTCGCGAATCGTACTTGCGCAGAGCGTCGCTCGGGATGAATACCTTCACTGGGTACGACCAATGCCTGAGGAAATGGTAGCGTAACCTTGGCAAACTCTCTTTAAACTTGATCACATCGCTGTGCCGGGTCACCAAGAAAACAATGACTCCATTCTCGAGATTGGGCTGGCCGTGGCGGGGGAGACCGCATTGCTTCTTCGCGCGGTCGATTGCCTCTTTCTCTTGTGGTCCAACCGGGTCCGCATCGCTGCCGCCAGCGATGAGCTCCACACTGGGCAATTCGCTGCCTGGGGCCGACGGCTTGGCCGGCCGAAACCCGAGCCCGGACGCCAGGTGGAACAGCCCCAATGCAGTCGCACACAGCAGCGGATTCATTGTCCTCAAAGTATGGAACGCATAACGGCGGAGACTCGCATGGAGACAGTATCAAATGTGCCCTGGAGCCTGCGCCGACACGGCTACGGAGAACTGAGAGGAGGACACGGGGGGGAAAGGAGGATGCAAGGGTATCCCACGGATGGTGCAAAGGTGTCTGACTAAGCCAATGCCATCCCAATCGCTAACCTGAACCTATGCCGACAAGAACCGGAAGCACCGCTTCTCTCAGCTTGCGTGCGCACGCGCACACGGGTCCTCCGCCTCCTGCTTCTACTCGTCCTCCTCCCCCTCCTCCTCCTCCTCCTCCTCCTCCTCCTCCTCCTCCTCCTCCTCCTCCTCCAGGCACCTGTGCCACTGGGATCCCTCCCCAAGAAAACAGGGGGGTAGCCTCCCGTTCGTCACCACGATGGCGGCCTAGTAGAGCTCAGAGGGCCCAATAGAGTCCCAAGAGGTCCCAAGAGGCCCCCGCGGAAGCCCAAGGCAGCCCAAAGACGGCCCAAGTCGGTCCCATGAGAGCCATATGTTCCCAGTCTCCCTAGATGGGGTGGGGAGGACGACGACGACGACGACGACGACGAGGACGACCACCACGACGACGACGCCGACGACCACGATGACGACGGCGCAGGCACTCGACGACTCGACGACTCGACGACTCGACGACGACGACGACGACGACGACGACGACGACGACGACGGCGGCGGCGGCGGCGACGACAACCACGACGACGACGACGACGACGACAAGGACGACGACAACGGCTTCGAAGACGGTGACGTCGACGTTGACGTCGACGTCGACGACGGAACCGCAGCACCACTCCACGTCC